TAAGACTGCCCGGTTTGGCAGTCCCCTGGAAGACCTGCAGGATCTAACTGTCCCTAGCTCACACACACACAAACACCACACATGTCCACACACTCCTCTATTACTCCCTCACTCTCTCACACACTCTCTCTCCCCACCTTCTTGCCGGTCACTATCTTGCAATCTAGAACATTCTGATTCTTATGAGGCTACCCAGCTGAAAATGTCTTACTTGCTTTTGCAACTATACAGTCATGAAACTTCCACAGTAATGTCCTTTGATAGAAGTAAGAATTATTAATTGTTTGAAGATAGTTGCAACATTTTCTAACTCAAACAGTGCCAGTTCTACCTGCCAAGGAATTTTTCTGGCTTCTCATTATCCTGCCTCAAAGGGAGGAGAGGGGGACTTCTGAGCAAATAGAATGGGAAGAGGTACAAAGGTGAGACATGAAGAATGTATTCAGGACTTTTGGCTGGAACCGCCATCTTCCAGTAATTCGCCAAAATGACTAACACAAAGGGAAAGAGGAGAGGCACCCGCTATATGTTCTCTAGGCCTTTTAGAAAACATGGAGTTGTTCCTTTGGCCACATACATGTGAATCTACAAGAAAGGTGATATTGTGGACATCAAGGGAATGGGCACTGTTCAAAAAGGAATGCCCCACAAATGTTCCCATGGCAACACTGTAAGTCTACAGTGTCACCCAGCATGCAGTGGGCATTATTGTGAACAAGCAAGGGCAAGATTCTTGCCAAGAGAGTTAATGTACATTTTGAACATATTAAGCTCTCTAAGAGTCAAGATAGCTTCCTGAAACGTGTGAAGAAAAATGATCAGAATAAGAAGGAAACCAAAGAGAAAGGTACCTGGTTTCAACGGAAGCGTCAGCCTGCTCCACCCAGAGAAGCACGCTTTGTGAGACCAATGGAAAGGTGCCTGAGCTGCTGGAACCCATTCCCTATGAATTCTTGGCATGATAAGTGGGACAAAAGTAAAAAAAGACTTCTGTGCTGATAAAAATGTTTCTCTTAATTGAGTAGAAGTGTAGCATCCCTTCCCCCCAAAGAATAATTAAAGAAAACTTTGTGTCACCCTAAAAAAAAAAAAAAGAATGTATTCAGGAAACAGTGAGGAGCACAGTTTGGCAGAGTCTGACAGCGTGAATAAGACACATTCAAGAAGGTAAAGTGGACGGTGCGTTAGGACCGTACTGAAGAGAGTCTTTCATGCTGAGCTAAGAGATTTTTACTTAGTTTGATAGCAGTGGAAACCCATCGAAGATATTAAGCAGGGGAATAACATGACCCGAAGCTGCCCTTCAACTAGAATAATCTCTTGCTATAAATAAGGATAGCATTGAAGAGAGAGAAGTTAGAGGTGAAGAAGCCAGGCAGGAGATTATTATAATCACCCAGGTGGGACATATATTAGCAATGGAAACGATGAATGATGTTAGGAACGGAGACTGCATGGTTTGGCAAGGTTACATTGCGGAAAGGTTGCTTGGAGCGACAGGTACCTAGGAAAAGGTCCCTTAGCAGCAGCAAAAGATATTACTGCTTTCCTGTCACCTCCTTCATTATTAAATGAGTTTGGAAAACAGGCAAGTTATTTTAAGATTTGTTTAGTTTAGAAATTCCCTGTGGATGCTGTATCTAATTAAGATTTCAGATTTACAGTTACAAGGCAAATTTTTAGCCGTAATTTATTTTGGCATTTGAAACAACTTACACATGTGTTTTTTCTTGATAGATATGGCAGTGTGGCGGCAAATTACTGTTTGTCCCTTGTTCTCGTGTGGGACATATCTACCGTCTCGAGGGCTGGCAAGGGAATCCTCCGCCCATTAATGTTGGGTCTTCTCCAACGATGAAGGTGAGTCTTCTGGTTGAAAGTGGAGAAGGCGAGAGAACTAACATTTATGTACCACATGCTGTGGTACTCAGAGTAAATGTCAGCCCACTGAATGGGACAATCTCTTAAGCCAGTGGTTCTCAACCTTCTGGCCCTTTAAATACAGTTCCTCATGTTGACCCAACCATAAAATTATTTTCGTTGCTACTTCATAACTGTAATGTTGCTACTGTTATGAATCGTAATGTAAATATCTGATATGCAGGATGGTCTTAGGCGATCTCTGTTAAAGGATCATTCGACCGCCAAAGGGGTCGCGACCCACAGGTTGAGAACCACTGTAAGCAATCACACAGGTCCTCACTTTCACCCTAGGCTAGACTTACTCATGAAATACCTTATTGTTCTTTGAAATTAGTCATTGTATCCCATTCATGAATGTTCTCCATAAAGACATTGCAAATAAATTCCAAAGGACTGACACTCTGTAAGAAAGGAAAGTAGTGGAAATGAAAATATCAACTTCTATTAGTCACAAATGAGGAAAATATTATTTTTAATATTTATTTATTTATTTATTTTAAATAAATCAAAATGACAAACAGCCATATATCCCACAAGGCCTAATTTCACAGCAGCGTGTGAAATTTAAAAACTTTAAATTAGCCGAAACCGGTTTGGCTCAGTGGATAGAGCGTCGGCCTGCGGACTGAAAAGTCCCAGGTTTGATTCCGGTCAAGGGCATGTACCTGGGTTGTGGGCACATCCCCAGTAGGAGATGTGCAGGAGGCAGCTGATCGATGTTTCTCTCTCATCAATGTTTCTAACTCTCTATCTCTCTCCCTTCCTCTCTGTAAAAAATCAATAAAATATATTGGGAAAAAAACTTTAAATTAATTTTAAAAATTAATTATATTAGGAGTGTTTGTAGTAAACAAAATCAAATTTTGAGTAGTGCTTGTGAAAGATTAATATCTTTTGTCCCTTAGAACAGGACAAACCAGGGAAGCTCCATACAGAGGCCAAATGTCCCACTGCTAGGATAACAGCCTCTGTTGAATGTCTTGTTGGGCTGCTGTCGTAAGTTCTAAGAGCCCATAACTCTGATGCCCTTCATTTTCTGGAGTCCTTAACCAACTCAAGAGAACTCTACAAATGAATTGTAGCTTCCATAAAAACTACCCAGGAAGTGTCATGGTCAGCATATTCTTAGAGAATGCCCCGAATGTGCCAGGCACTTTCTTTTCTCCAATTTTAGCACCATGCACTTCAACCACCAGGGTGCCAATGGTTTTTGTGGATTTATCTAGCCCATTTGTCTTTGAGCTTCAGATCTTTATAGTTAATTGTCTTCTAGAATTATCCTCTTAGATATTTCAAACTCAACGTAGTCAAACTTTTAAACTTTTTCTCAAAAGTGATTCCTTTTCCTGTGTTCTCTATTTGCCCATGAATAAAACTTGGGGGGCATGTTAGGGTTGTCCAACTCACCTCTCACCTGATGAAGCCCTGACAATTCGACCTCAGACATATCTCTTAAGTCCATTCCTTGCTATGCTTAGTGCAGGTCTTTAGATGTCTCCCATGGATATTAAACAGCCTCCCACTTGGCTCTCTGTCATCAGCTTTGATGTCCTTATGTCTGTTTCCTGCTTATAACCTTTTGATGACTTCTCATATAAAGGATAAAACTCAAAGTCCATAAAAATAATAATAGCTAACACTTTTTGATTGGTTATTAGGTATCAGACACAAATCTACATGCTTTCCATAGATTAATTTTTTTTAATTTTCACAACATTCTATAAGATAAAGACTATGATTATTCTCATCTTAAAATGAGAACAGTGAGGCGAGTTTCTCTCTGAATCCTGCATTCATTCCACCTGTGGCAAACTAATGGAGGATTCCAAATGCATCATGATTTGCCATCTGCATTTGCATTTCTCTTTGCCCTCAATACGATACCCACCTAATTAACCACTCTTTCAAGATTGAGCCATCCAGCATCCCTCCATGGTGCCCCTTTCCACCCCAAACAAATATTCCTTCTTTTTGTTGCTATAACCTTATGTGTGTGCATTTAATTCTTCACATTCATTAGTATCTAAAAGATATGGACTGTGTCTAATTTTGGATGAATTTGCAAGGATTCAAAATAGTTAGCTATATTACATGCTCTTTTAGGATACCGCTGCTTAAGACTTTGTTGAAGCCAATAGCTTTTGCAATAACATGCTTGCAAGGTCACGTTCACCCTTTGATAGTTAACTTGTAGTCTAGAAAAAAATGTAAAAGAATGCTAGATTTTCCTACTCCTGATGTAAAACAATGGGCCAGGGCCAGCCCTATAGTAAATCAAGTTGTATTGGAGCACAACCCACACCCATTTGTTTATACATTGTCTATGGCTACGTTCTCAGCAGAGTTGAGTAGTTACAACAGAGATATCTATGGCCCACTAAGCCAAAAATGCTTTCTCTCTGGCCCTTTACAACAAAGTTTGCTGAGGCATGCTGGAGAACACCAAGAGGCTAGATTGAGTGTGTACTAAATCTGTCACGTATATTCATGCCTACATGCAGCATTCGGTAAAACCTTAGAAGTTAGGTCTTTGTCAGTTATCACAATGTCAGCTGATTTTATTGTTCATTAGTTACTTTTTTCTTAAAGTGTGCCAACTGGGGAAAATACCCAGTTAATTCTGGGTTATGGTAAAAATGGTCCTATTATAGTTGTAAGATGTGTTTTATTAAAACTATTGTTTTTCATGATGGTTTCTGAAATGGGATTTTTTTCTTACAAAGATGTGTTTTTATTAAACAAAACTATTATTTTTCATGATGATTTCTGAAATGGGGTTTTTCCCTGCATATGCTAGTAGTATGGAGATAATTCTGGGAGGAGCACCAGTGTCTAGCCAGCCTCTCATAAACCCCTCTAGGTAGCAAATCTTCCTTTAGAAGCAGGACAGAATATATTCTCTTAGAATAGATATCTCTTGCAGCTAAGAGTCTATGTCCATCACTTTTTAGTTGAACATGCATGATGATTTTATCCTTGGCAGTTGACATATTAGAGTCATTAGCTCAGTTGCATTTGTTGTTTAAATATTAGGCCTTATTGAAATAAGTTTGTTATATGTTGGTCATATTTCAGATGTCTAAGAGAAGCTGTTTATGACATTACAAGTATTTTTATTTGTTATAATGATATTAATTTTTTCTCCACAGAATTATGTTAGAGTTGTTGAGGTCTGGTGGGATGAATATAAAGACTACTTCTATGCCAGTCGTCCTGAATCAAAGGCATTAGCATATGGAGATATCTCTGAGCTGAAAAAATTTCGAGAAGATCACAACTGCAAAAGTTTCAAATGGTTCATGGAAGAGATCGCTTATGATATCACCTCACACTACCCTTTGCCACCCAAAAATATTGACTGGGGAGAAGTAAGTATCAGTGATATTCAGATATCTAAGTGCGTGTGTTTGGAGACTTGAGTTTGGGAGAATGCAGGGAGAGATGAAATGTATGAGGGAGAAGAATCTTAAGGGAAAGTTTGGGTAAATCTGTCTAGTACCTCCTCCACCTTCCCAGTTACCACCACCCGGAGCAGCTGACTGTGTGTCCCCTCCTCTCTGCACATATGGCTCCTCTCGTCTGGAACACTGTCCACTCTCTCCTGCCACTTCTCTGTCCCTCAGTCTGACTCCCTTTCTTGGCTAATTCCAACTTATTATTACTGCATCCAATGTAGGAATTACCATTGTAGCTTTTCTCAATGAAAAGTCTTTCTTATTCTTTCCCACTCCATCAAAAAGACTCAGTCCTGTGGTTTTTGCATGAGTTCTCATAACACTGAAAATTGCCTCTCTCTTAGCCAGTCAGTTAATATATGTTCACCATTGTGTCCCAGTGAACTACTGCAGAGACCCCCATATACAATAGGCCCTCAAAATGCTTGTCAAGTGAATGAATTAATTAATGGTAGCTGGAAATAATTAAAATCAAAGTCATTTCTTTGTTTCTTCAAACTTGCCTTTGTAACTGGGTGCATTTCTGATTCACCCACCCATATGGGTGCTGTATTAAAACATGCCACAAACTTTCACATCTATATGTTTTTGCTTAATTATGTGTCCAACAAATATTAGCTGAGCCAGTCACTCTTCTAGATAGAAAACAAGACATTTTCCTCAGGGAACTTACATGCCAGTAGATGAGAGACAACCCCCCGCTGCCCTCCCCCCCCCCCCAAACCCAAACAAAACAAAACAGGAAAAACAAAGAAGATTCTGATAGATGGTGGTAAAGGCTATGAATGAAATTAGTAGGTAATGTTCAAGAGGACATAAGGATAGGGCAGGGAAGGCTTCTCTGAGGAGGTGACATTAATCTGAGATCTGAAATCAGAGAGCTGGGAAAGTGTTCCAGGTAAAGAAAATGAGTTTGAAGGCTCTGAGCCAGGAAATGCTTTGCGTGTTTGATGAGAAGGAAAGAGCAGGTTAAATAAGGTGAAGTGACAGGCAGGTGAGGAGGGAGGCGTTTTATCCTAAGGGTGGTAGGAAGCCATGCAAGAGTTTTAAACAGAAAGGTAACGTGATTTGATTTATGCTGTTTTTAATCACCCTGCTGTGAGGATTTAGAGTAGAAACAATAATGACAGTTTAGGAAATCAGTAGGGTACTTCCAGTGAGAGGTGATGGGAGTTTGGACCAGGGCCGTGAGGACAGAGGTGAAGAGAAGCATACAAAGTGAAGATCTGGAGGTAGGTCACTAATGGATTTGTATGCGAAGGACATGGGCCAGGATGACATTTAGTTTTGTTTTTCATTTAAGTAGTGGACCAGGTGGCATCTGAGATTAGGAAGTTGGTAGCCAGGATGAGTGAGAGGGGTCGGGAATAGCAAGTTCTCTATTGGTGTTCTAGACTTGGGAAAGGCCCAGGTGGAGTTGTCAAGTAGATCGTAAGTCGTGTAATACTGAAACCCAGAACAGAGGCAAAGGCACATCTAAGGATGTATGTTTGGAGCCATCAGCAGGTGGATTGTTTCATGGGGCTGGATGAGAAAACATAGATAGAGGACAGGATCCGTTCCAAAGGAATTCCAAGAAGCCAACAAAGGACTCTATGCCACTCTCTCTCTGCACCTCTTATTTTAGTACCTTTATCCCGTACCCTTATTTCACCTCTGTGTGCTATTACAGCAGGTTGTGTTTAACTCCCAACCAGAGCATAGCCCCTGGCAGCTCAGACCCCAGTTTTGGTTATCTTTTAATCTCCTAATTTAGGGGTCCTCAAACATTTTAAACAGGGGGCCAGTTCACTGTCCCTCAGACCGTTGGAGGGCCGGACTATAGTTTTAAAAAAAACTATGAACAAATTCCTATGCACACTGCACATATCTTATTTTGAAGTAAAAAAAAAAAAAAAATGGGAACAAATACAATATTTGTATTTGCAGCTCAGACCCCAGTTTTGGTTGAGGACCCCTGTCCTAATTAGTATAGTGCCTTCTATGCAAAAGGAAGGAATTCTCTTGGTGATCTTTTCTGTCTCCTGGCTTTAAAACCATCTACATGCTGGTGACCCCAGTTTCTATCTTTAACCTAAATCTCTCTCCCAGAGCTCAGACAAGTATATCCAACTGCCTATTGGACCTCTCCATTTGACTAATAGACATCTCAAACTCAACGCATCCAACAGTGACCTCCCTGTCTCCCCTCCCCAGCCTATCTTAGCTGATTGCTCAGGCCAAAGCTTTGGAGTCTCTTTTGAATCCTTTCCTCCTCTCTCACTTAGATCTAGTTCCAGACTCTGATCCTTTCTTACTCTCGTCTAAGCCACCACATCTCACTGAAACTAGCTTTGCCTTCCTACTTCCTGTTCTAAACACAGCAGTCAGGGTGGTCTTTCAAAAATGATCATGTTACTCTGTTAGAAACCTGCAGTGATACCTCCTGTTCCTCAAAGAGAAGGCACAGTCCTTTCTAATGGCCTCTAGGGCCTGCATCTTTGGCCCTATTCCTCTCTGGCCTCAACTGCTACTCCTCTCCTCACTCACTCCAGCCCCAATGTCCTCCTTACTTAGTGCAGGCAGCCTTTGCTGCCCCCTCTGCCTGGACCACCTTTCCTCTGCGTGCGTAGCTAACTCTTACATACACCTCAAGTCTGCTCCCATGGCACCTTCTCAGTGAGATCCACCTGCTATCCCCCAAACACTCCTAGCCACACAGGCCCTCATTAACTTGCTCTTTTTCTTTTCTGTTTCACGGCACCTATCCCTCTCTAACATGTCTATTGTGGCTTGGGCTTATATTCTGTTTCCTTCCCTAGAATATAAGCTCACTGGGGCAAGGGTCTTTATCCTTTTCATTCATGGTTGTATCAGAGCCCACAACATAACTGACACAGTACTCACTTCATATTGGATGAATAACTAAATGCCTAAGTGAATCAATAGGTGGAATTTTCTGTCCTCCCTTTACAATCTCAATCTGAATACATCTTCAGTTTAACCGCTTCCTGTTCTGGCACCTTACATTTCACTTCTCAGCCTTCCCTGCACATTCCAGGGTAAAACCCACCAGCTGCTTCCGAATTCCTCCAGGCGGCTGCGGGAGAGGGCTCTTCCTCCGCACGTCCATCCCTCCATCCTGACTGACTTGACCCCTCAGCCTTCCTGCAGACGTGAGGGTCCTGAGGACCAGGACTTGCTTTTGCTTCTCTTTGTATCTTCTAAAGCTCTTACATTGTCACAGTGCTCCGTCAGTATATACTGACTGAATGAATAAAACATATATTATAGTAATTTATAATTGAGATATATAATATTTCTAAAAAGGGAAAAGTTTTTTTTTATAAGAAATGTGCATTTCCAAGATGGAAACTGTGTTGGCTTTTCACCTACCTTATCCATAGTCATAGAAAAGTCTCACTGCCTGGTCCAGCTGCCATAATGTTCGCCCCTTGGGTCCCTGCAGACAGCTACCAAAAGTGCCTCACAGCCATTTGGGAGAGTTACTTTACAAATTCAGTTCTGTTCTAGACATCTAGGGCCAGTGTCTGTGACCACTGTGGTTAGGTAACTCTAGTTGCTTCTCATTCACATGAATTATCTGAGTCTGAGATTGTACTTAATAGTTACTGTCTTTTAATTTTTTTTCTTCTGTGGTATTTTATCAAAATCTATAGGCCAATGCCCTTCCTTGGAATGAACCCATTCTAATGCTGAGTTAAAGACCCTAAATTATTTCAAAGATGACTACTATGTTCTAAGCTATTCCAAGACTGACAATAAATACAGTAATAACATGGCATTACACATACCCATATGTCCACTATGAACTGCAATATTTAACATGAAACTTTTACTCTGATGTTAGGGCATAATAAAAACTAAACAGTTGCCTGCTATTGGTTCTTTGTTCCTTTTTTTAGATCAGAGGCTTTGAATCTGCTTACTGCATTGATAGCATGGGAAGGACAAACGGAGGCTTTGTTGAACTAGGACCCTGCCACAGGATGGGAGGGAACCAGGTAAATTACCTCCTTTCATATTTAAATTGGTTCTATAGTGAGAGCTGCCAGGCTTGTTGATCTTGGGAATTCCTTTGCTTTTCAGTTTGGTAATTTTCTTTGTTTGGTAAAGTAAACCATTCTGTAAAAAAAGAAAAAAAAAACGGACTGAGCTAAAACTTTTAGTTAAATGAGGGTATAATAGCAGCACTGCTTTTCACATAAGCAGTCATAATCTAGAATTTAATATAAGACATTCTATCCTATATAATAAAAGGCTAATATGCAAATCGACCGACTGGTTGCTATGACACGCACTGACCACCAGGGGGCAGACGCTCAATGCAGGAGCTGCTCACTGTGGTCAGTGCGCTCCCACAGGCCAGAAGCCGGGCTCACACTGGCGAGCACAGCAGCACCCCCTCCATGGCAGCACTAAGGATGTCCAACTGACGAAGAGGCACCAGGCCTCTAGTTAGAATATATTCTTGTGTGAGTCCATAACTATGCAAGCTTAGCTCCCTAACAATTGTATTTGCAAATATTATCCAGAATTCCACATTTCTTCCCAATAAGCTGGAATGTTACTGCCAGTAATGTATATTTCCCTAATATATTTTCCTACTTCCTTATGTGTTTTTCTTGCCTCTAAGTTAGATTGTAAGCCATCAGATCTGTTTTCACTTGTATTTTCTCACATTGTCGGTACTTGATAAATACGTGTTAATGACCCCTTCTGTATCTAAGAGGCTACAGAACATAATCCTTCCAGTGTTAGTTTGCTAACATCAAAATGAATACAATTCCAGTCTTTGGATTTATAGTTTTGAACATACAAAAATATTATAGAAAAATAAGATAGCCATTGAGTTAGTTTTTGTGTATCAGCAGAGAAGGTGCCTGTTATTTTTTTCTTTTTTTTTTTAATAGCTTTTCCGAATCAACGAAGCTAATCAACTCATGCAGTATGACCAGTGTTTGACAAAGGGGCCTGATGGATCAAAAATCATGATTACACACTGTAACCTAAATGAATATAAGGAATGGCAGTACTTCAAGGTATTCTGCATTTCAACTTCCAAAATAATAATTATATGCTATTTCATTTTAATAACACCTACCTTGTGGAATTTAGATGTATAAATCTTAAAACCTGCATTCAAATTGACTTGCATTTCCCTCTCATTCAGTCATTTGTTTTCCTGAGCACTAATGACTCCATTGTTCCATAATGAACCATCACTTTTATTCTCTGGTGCAATGTTGTCATGAGATGTCCGCAAAGGCCCGCTAATCTCAGTAACCCAGGAAAATCAGTATTCTGTGAGGGCAAATATATGTAACAAAAAAAATATTGTGTTTATATTTCATGTTGTCCAGCAGGTGGCGGTGGAGACAGACAAATAACACTTGGAAATCTAGGCCACTACTTCCTTATCATTGTTTTATAGATACAATCATTAGATAAATGTTGCCTGTTTCTTGCTTTAAAGGTCATATTTAGTTGACACTGTGGGAAGGAACAGTTTTTCTATTTTAGCTGTGAATATTCAAGAGTTCTGTGCCAAGTTGAGGATTCCATCATATTGATGGATGGATGTATAATTTTCAAAGTATGCACTTGGCTAAAATAAATTTATTGTAAAACATAAAGTTTGGAAAGCTACCCCAAACTGAAATAACCTGGCAACCTCAACTTTATTTACTCATTTAATATATGTTATCATACCCTGTCTGTCATGCAAGCACTTGTTTACTATGTAGGTATGTTACTATGACCCACCTTAATATTCCCAATCATCAACATTCATAGATAATTACTATAAAGTGGTGAGTGTGTCAATTGCTGATTTTTTTATAACAAGTTAGGAAGGAGAAGATCAGCATAAATCTTGAAGAACAAAGCATTTATTTCCACAAAGAAATTAATAATAGCAGTAAGTGATAGGGGTCAGGGAGAACAATATTAGTAAAGTAGTAAAAGAAGGCTAAGAGACCAGAAACTACCATTGAGAAGTAATAGATTAAAAAATGGAATGTGCATATTTTATATACTTTAAAGGGCACAGCACTAAATATACATTTGTGCATCAGACATTACTAAACATACAGGGGTGGGCAAAAGTAGGCTTACAGTTGTGAGTACATGAAAGTTTATTCTTATATTTATTAATTATTATTTCTGTTATTATTGTTTTTATTATTTCATATCCTTATAATTTGTCTTTTAGGTAACGGTGGCTGATAATTTAACTAATGACCAATGAAAGTGGATACTTAAATCTACTTTTGCCACCTCTGAATACTAGGGCTAGTGACTTCAAAAAATAAGCACATCATACTACAATAGCAGAGAAGGGGGGGGAAAGGTAGAAATTAAAATAAGCACAATGCCATAAGACAGCAAAAGAGAGGTTAATAGGAATTATTTCTGATGAGTTTCATAGAGGAAGTATCATTGCACCGGTATCACTGAAGTATAAAGAGATTTCTCATGGAGAGTAAGTAAGAAAAATGGGTGAACAAAGGCATGGCATGAAAGTGTATAGAGAAAAATATGAGGAATCACGTTTAGATTTCCCTCCATATGACAGAACATTGAACTTCACTTTGTAAGTTTAGGAGAGCAGTTGGCATTATTTGAGGAATGCAGTGATAGGAAACAGTTGATACTTTTAGGAAAATAATTCTGGAAACATTGTGAAATATGAACTGTAAAGCTTCATCAGAAGTTCTCAAACACTCCGGTCTCTGGATTCCATTTACACTCTTAAAAATTATTGGGACTCTTCTCACACAGATTATGTTTATGTAGATTATAGCTAACAAAATATCCAAAATTGGAGATTAATCCAATAAATTTTACAGGTATTTATGTATTAATTTATAATTTATATAAAACTAATACTAGCCCTATTGCATATTAATATAAATACTTTTAATGAATAATAACTTTTTCAAAAAAAGTGAGGAAGGCATTGTTTTATAGTTTAGCAAATCCCTTTAATATCTGGTTTAATAGAAGGCAGCTGAATTCTCATACTACTTCTACATTCCATTTGAAATTATATATTGTTTTAGTTGCAGTAGATGAGGAAAATCCAGCCTCACATAAACATTCAGTTGGAAAAGAGGAATAATTTAATAGCATTTTCCGATAATTTGGCTATTCTTTGATGCTACTACACAAGTCTATAAGTGATAGTTTCTTAAGTTATTTGTCGTGTAGAATCTGAAACCATATAAGTGAACATTTTCCTATGTTACATTAAAATCCATTGGTCTTTGATGAATTTTTTACCCATATGAGCTTTTGTAACATCATGCATTGCTCGTTTGGAAAATCATGGTTTCCTAAGTTATGATCTTGCAAATGGTGACACATTTCATTGTGCAATGTCAAAAATATACATATTAGGAAGCTATCATGTTCACGGTGGTGTTTGCCAGTTTTCAAAAATTCTTAATATTTGCTTGAAAACTCAACTTGTATCAATGGCACCAAATACTGTCAGATTTGTGGATTTGTTTTTTGTGATTGTTGCTTTTCTTCTTGAAGGGAGAGGCTCACTTCCTTTTCATGAAAATGTCTACAAAGTTTAAATAATTGTAGTTTATCTGTGAGTTGACCTTTCTAGTCAAAATGACAAATCATGAAAAAAGCAGCTAGTTGAACTCTCAAGTCAAACAGTTGCATGTGTACTTTCCCTCAAGATAACCGTGGTAATCACTATACAGAAGTGTCTTATGCATATTTCCCATTTCATCTTATAGAATCTTTTTAAAAGTATACTCAAAGGTTAAGATTTAGTAAAACTAATAAGTTTTACTGCTTCATCAAGGACATTCTTAAGTGAAACTGGCATTTCCTTTTTTAACTGTTAGAATGGCTATTAGCACAGTTTTGTGACACTGCTTAATTTATGCTGAGGCACCAGCACTTTCATCCACCATTGCTTTTGCACTGTCAGTATAAATGTCAATACAAGGAAAAAGGCAAATGGGGCCTTTGTATTATTATCAAAATAGTTTCGACCTTACAGATACAATCTTAGATAGCCTGAGGACCACCCTCTAAGAAGCCCTGAACTATGTGAAGAAACCTACAACAGATGATGAGGGCTAAACTAAGGCATTGGCAGTGGGGATGGGAAAGGGTATATACTAGAGATATTGCAAATATCACACCTTGTGACTGCTCAACAGGAAGGGAGGGAGAGAAAGGAAGTGAGGAAGGGAAGGAAGGTACAACATGAATGCCTCTATCATGAGGACTGGAAAGCTGATATTGTCATTAGTCAGAATAGGAACTAGAAAAATAGATTTGGAGGGAAAGATAATGAATTTAGGTTTGTATGCACTGAACTTGAGGTACCAGCAGTACATTATAACATAAGTCTTTATATAAACAATAAAAGCACTTACAAGACTGATGATCAAGAAAAGTCCGAAGTCTGATGTATAGTTGGTTGGTTGAAGCCTGTCCATCTTGCTTGAATTATCATCTTTTTTTTTCCAAAAAAAAAATTTTTTTAAGTACAGTTGACATTCAATATTATATTAGTTTCAGGTGTATAGCATAGTGGTTAATCCCCCCAATAAGTCTAGTACCCAGCTGACACCATACATAGTTATTACAGTATTATATTCCCTATGCTGTACTTTATATCCCTGTGACTATTTTGTAATGGAACAGAATAGAGAGCCCAGAAATATATCTATGCCTATTTGGTTAATTAATCTATGACAAAGAAGACAAGAATATACAATGGGGTAAAGACAGTCTCTTCAATAAACGGTGATGGGAAAACAGCACAGGTACATGCAAAAAATGAAACTAGATCACTTCCTTACACTATATATAAGAATAAACTCAAAGTAGATTAAAAACTTAAAATGTAAGACCCAAAACCATAAAACTCCTAGAAGAAAGCATATGCACTAAACTCTGACATGCTCTTCTTAATGTTTTTTTGGATATGTCTCCTCCAGCAAGAGAAACAAAAGAAAAAATAAACAAATGGGATTACATCAAACTAAAAGGTTTTTGCATAACAAAGGAAACCATCAACAAAACGTAAAGACATCCTACTGATTTGAATTAACTTCGTATGAAAGCCAAATAAGGACTTCTTCTAATGTCAGTAACATCAAAAAAGTACAAATTTAAAACTTTTTTTCTGTGTTTTCCAGAACCTGCACAGGTTTACTCACATTCCTTCCGGAAAGTGCTTAGACCGCTCAGATGTCCTCCATCAAGTGTTCCTCTCCAATTGTGACTCCAGTAAAATGACTCAGAAGTGGGAAATGAATAACATCCACAGTGTTTAGAAAGAATAAAAGAAACCAATAACCTACCTACTGACACGTAAATTTTCACAGGACTGAAAACCGCCTGAAACCTGCTGCAACTATTATTAACTCTGTACAGCTCCAAACCCAGCACCTCCTGATAGGTTTGAAGGACATTGATAAACTGTGATTTTACAATAACATTGTCATCTGCAGTTACTGTTTACAAAACTGCTTTTACCTTAAACTTTATAGATGTTTACATCTTTTTGTGTTGTTTTGTTTTAAGATGATGTTGGTAATTTGTGCATTTATATCTGTTCAGAACAGAGCTAAAAGCATCGTTGTCTTCTTTGGGATTACACTCAGGGGTCTGACAGGCAGTTTGATTTTTTTTTTTTAACACACTTGAAAAAAGGTTGGAGTAACCAGACTTTCATATATAACTTGGTGATTATCAACCTGTTGTGTCTTTATTTAATTTTACATCTTTTTGAAGCACTGCCACAGGTTATTAGCCAAGGTGGCCTTCCTTCACCGTCATGCTGCTTTTTTGAAAGGTGAATTTCAACACATTTAGTGCCTCTTTCATTTTCTCAGTATATATTTCAAGAGCTTTCAATGAAATGTATAGGATGGTAATGATGGAATTGTCACCAGTAAATACTTTTACTACTCAGAAGTGAATTTATGTGCTACCATTTGCTCTGAGATCAAATGTTGTATGGCTTGAAAAAAATTAATAACATGAAACCCCAAGGCTCTCCCATAGGAATTGAAGATTGTACGGCATTAAGTTCCTTACTTGCTGGCATTCCCACTGCCCTCTGTTAATACCAACTCCTAAAAGAGCAGAAGGGTCTGCCAACTAGAAAAAAATTGACCATTGACCTCTGGAATTTACTTTCCCCCAATACCTGTCATTATAGAAAACTATAATTCTCAGTTTCAAATCTTAAAATGGGGGAGAGGGGAGGTAACAAAAACAACAAAACACTGCTGTAAACAAACATCAAAGGTTCATTCTGAAGTAAGAATTTTCAAGCCCTTGTTAAATTAAGCCTTACAAAGCTCCTGTGCATTATAACCTAAGCTGTGCAACCTTTCAAGCCAAGAGTGAATGGATGTTTTATTTATATCTTCATCCAAATAAAATTCCCTGCACATTTTTTAAAAATTTAAAAAGGCTATTTAAAAATACAGTTCATTAACAAATATGAACTCCTTTCTGTTAGATTAAGTGTTAGTTCCCTAATCTTTATTTTTTTATTTTTCCCCCTAATCTTTATTAATTCTTTTAGGAAGTATATTTCTATTAGTATTTTTCCAGTGAAAAGAAGACTTGTTTGGATTTAAACATTTACTAAGACAGTATAGGAAAACCAAATACTGGAGATGATTGATTAGATTTTTATTTCTAACAAAATACTCTTTTATTGCTCAAAATATTAAAATGCTATGTTAAGCCTGACCGGCGTGACTCAGTGGTTGAGCATCGACCTTTGAACCAGGAGGTCACAGTTCAATTCCTGGTCAGGGCACAAGCCCTGTTGCAGGCTTGATCCCCAGTAGGGGGCATGCAGGAGGCAGCCAATCAATGATTCTCATCATTGATGTTTCTCTCTCTCTGAAATCAATAAAAATATATTTTTAAAAATAATAAAATGCTATGTTAAGGGGGGGGGGGAATAACATGAGTTGGGGAATGGCAAGTAAATTAAGCATTTTTGATCCTGTAATTAAGATATCATTACAATGAATGGAATTCACAAACTACTGCCAGAGGGAAATATTTTTAATTAAAGCTCAAAAAAGAAAAAAACAACAACAAAAAAACAAAAACCTACATTTGTTTAAATGAAAAGTCTACAAATCTGTTTCTTCCAAGGCTAGTCCTTAAATTTGGAGAGTTAAACATCCTAAACAGAATTTTATTTATAATTTTGAATTGTCTATTTGTATTTTGCTACTGATCTATAATCAACCATCTTAACTTTCATTCATCTCTAGAGATGTTTAAAAAGGAGTAAATTTATATGCTTAAATAATTTCAAAATAAATCAACTATAAGAAAGAAAGAGAATTGGTACTTTAATTACTTGTGTGTTTGCAAATAGGTTCCATTTTTCTTGTTGAATAAATTATAACCTTGTTAACTATGCATAGGCCTAAGAAAGGTGGCACATAAACTGTGCATGTAAATTTTAAATAGATATTTTGTGCAATTCGTAGATAATCTATGAAAATGATTCTCTTTATTGAAATCAGAAACCTTACCAAACACACACAAAAAAAACATCAGAAGCTGCTGCCATAATGACTATTTTCTACTGTAGGCTGCTTTGGAAATAATTCCCATATCCTTGCTTTGTAAGTTGATAATATCACTATGCATTTCTACACATTTTATAAATTTGATTTGTGCAGATTTTGATACACTGTATGTTTCTGTAGAAATTATATAAATATTCAGAATTTTATTAGGGATAAATTTGAGAAGTTTATGTATATCTTAATTATGGGTTGCTTGTTTTTTAGATGAGAAAAAATAAAATACTGTATTTTAATTCATGGGTTTTTTCAGTACTTGTAATCATTTCTAAATCTTATTACTGCACATTCGAAGTAATAACTGGATTGTTATGGATTGTTCATAAGATAAACAAATAGAATAGCTAAAATATCATAAGCCATAGTTATATATTGAGTATGTGCTTGAGTTTGGGGTTGAGTTCTTAGAGTGTGCTTAGAATACTCAGACCTTACCTACCAGTATGTGTAGGAAGGAAACAGGTTTATTTTTGCCTCTGGTTACCTATGTGTAGCAATTTTTTTAAAAAGTCCCATATCCAATTACAAAAAAAACAAACCCAGCAACATCTTTTTTGACAGTATATTCTACAATATAATTGCCTATTGAAAGCAAAAATGTCTTTTAAGTCAAAATTCTCTACAACTGACCAAGTGAGTAGAAAGAAGGGAAGCCTACCAAAATGAAGTTAGAAATAGGTCATAGGATCTTGTGGCACAACACATGGCATCTCAAGAAGATTGGCTACTAACATCCAAGTAAGTGACCCTGTTGATTTGGGAAACTTGCTCTAAACTAACTTGGCTATTGTGTCTTCCAATTCTCAGCTCCTGTGCCTAAAAAATATGAAAAAACTGGCAGCTCCAGACTGGAGTAAATGTGGGCTCACGTATTTAAGATAGTCTCTCACGGGGATCTTGAAATAAATTTCATTTCTAGACAGAATGTAATTGGGGAAAAAATCTGCTGATAATTCAACAGAAAATATGACAAGTACCTGACCTGAGCCAGATACCCAGTAGGCCAGTAGTTTGTGCATGTGAAACTTAATCCATTTGAAAACACTTTTAGAAAGTATTGAGCATTATAAAAATGCATTTTATTCATTAGAATCAATCTGTTGCAAGAAAATGGACAAAAGTCAGAATGATTTGAGGGGAATGCTACCCCTGAAATTAGAAATTAAAGGAGGGACTGTTTCTAAATTCAATAATTGCTTTTCAGTTTTCATTTTTAAAATTGTGAAATGCCCATAATTAAGGTTGTTGGATGTCTGTTTTCTAAGTGAATCAGGCCTGGTAACCGCATCTGAGCAGAGGTGGGATGAAGGGTTCTGCAATTTTTATAATAGAATGATGTTTCAATCTGGTCATCTGAATAGTAGTATAGTATATGTACTTTGTATTGGAATCCCTACTCCACTACAAATTACTTGTTTGACTTTGGATAAGTTATTTAACCTCTATGCCTCAGTTTTCCCTTTTGTAAGATGGGGAAAATAATAGTGCTTATTTCATAGGATTGTTACTAGGATTGAATAAGTTAATGTACGTAAAGTACTTATAATAGTTCTTGCATATATTCAGCTATTATTACCTCATTTCAAAGTTTTAAAATCTGTCTATCAGATTTAAGACAGCTACATTGCAGACCTTCTATAAAGGCTATAAAGGCTGTGTGTGTGTGTGTGTAACTGTGCTTCATATATGAGATATTATTATCCCTACTTTACAAGTGAAGAAATGAAGTTCAGAAGTTAAGCTTCCTCTTAAACTGGGGGTGACCTAGTGTTCAATAAGGGAATAAAGTGTTTATCACACCATTCATATAGCATGTGTAGGATGTAATCTCAGTGGTCCAATTGAACACTTGGATAAAATTAAGTGCATCTTGAAGAATGTATTCTTTAAATTATGAAATTTGTCTCAGGCTTTTGATATGAGCAAGTAAACTCTATCTGTATTAACAATTAAATGCATAAAGCAAAACTAAAACTTTCAGTAAAAAATAGAGATCAACATACTTCCATGTCTGCCCATACATAGTAATGAGTATTGGACATATACTCCTGTCCTAAACAACTATAAAACTGGACAAAATATATGGGGCAACTGTTTTCAGTTGTATAACAGGCAAAGCCAACTGAGATACTTGAGAGAAGGGAAGCACAGCAGGTGAACCCATGTCTGTCTACCAAACATGGTACAGGAAAGTGGAGCTCAAACAGTGGTCATACCACTAAGGTGAAGAGTGAGTTTGGGGCCGCTGAGACAGCTGGAATTTACAGGGGAGGTTACTGGAGGGGAGTGCACTTGACCACCAGGAGAACTGCACAGAAGTTTGTATGGCACTGGACAAATTGTGGTATAATCATACAATGGAATGTTACAAAGCAATGAACATGAATGAACTGGTCATATATAAGTCAGTAAGATACTGTTGAGGGACAAAGACAATTCCCAAAAGACTATTCAACAAACACTTTCTGTGAAATCAAAAGCAACTAAAATTAAACATCCAGTCACACATTTATATGTGGTAGAAAGGTTAAATAAACTTGTCCAAGCTTACAAATTTAGTATTGGAGCCAAAGTCATAAACAACTCTAATATTCCATGTCCTCAGAACCCTGTGGGATGAATTTCTATCAGTGTTTTCTATGTTAACTGCAGTTTTCCTCTCCACCTTGACTGTCAAGAATCTCAGAACTAAATCTAATTCTGATCATAAAACTATATTAACCCATACATATTGGTATACTTTTTAAACTAATATTTATTGGGTATTTACTATTTCTGGCCAATAGGACGAGTGTTTTAAATGCAATGCCTTATTTAACACAAAAAAAAAAATTCTCATTTTACAGATGGGGAAACTGAAAGGTTACATGACTTGTCTGATGTTACTGAACCAAAAAGAAACAGAGCCCAACTCTGACCTGATTCCCAGGTATAAGCTTTATCACTTTACTCTTAATTTCTTTCATAACCTTGTTTTCCCTTTTGTATGTCTTTTTTTAATTTTTTCTTTGTATAAGCGATCCCATCTTGATTAGAAAAAATGTGGAGAATTAAAGAATAGCACATAAATTGGAATGAATTAATGTTTGACTATCTCTTACCAGCGCCCTAGGACATTGAACTAGTTGACCACCATGTCTCCCTGAAGGAGACGGGTCCAATTGATATAAAGCTCATTTCTAGTTCCAAAATTTGATGCTACATATTGCTTTAAAAAAATTTTTTTCCTTTTAATGTGGCAACCTAATTGTGCTCCTGAGCCACTATTTTTTTTTTAATTGATTTCAGAGAGGAAGGGAGAGGGAGAGAAAGATAAAAACAGCAATGATGAGAGAGAATCGGCTGCTTCCTGCATGTTCCCCACTGTGGACCGAGCCCCAACCTGGGCATGTGCCCTGACCTGGAATTGAACCTCGGCCTCCTGGTTCATAGGTAACGCCCAACTGCTGAACCATGCTGGTTGGGCCTGAGCCACTATGCTATAGATGTAAGTCCCAGATGAGGCTCACTAAAAGAGAAGTCTGCACTGTAAATCCTGAAGAAAAAAGGCCCAGGAGCACAAGGAAATTCCATTACAACCTCAGAAACAATGTCTATGTTTATGTGTACTACAGGATAAGAAGATAGATGAGTTTCGGGTCAGGGCAAGGAGGGTGTCTTAGACAACTATAAAAACAATGTTTAGCTGGAAGGCATACATAAACTTTTCTCAACAACCCTATCTCAAGTAAATATTAATAATTTTATATTCACCTATACTATTCAATTTATAAAAGGGGCAAATTGGTGAACCTTAAGCAGAATTTTACCTGTAGACATGTTTTCTTTGGACATTTGAATTCATTGCTAATATTTACAATTCAGATTTCACAGAACTAGAATAAATACTCCAAAAATTTATATGGAACCATAAAAGACCCCAAAAAGGTGCAGCAATCTTGAGAAAGAAGAATGAAGTTAGAGGGATCACAATACTAGATATCAAACTATATTACAAAGCCATTATAACCAAAACAGCCTGCTACTGGCACAAGAACAGGCATCAGACCAATGGATCAGAACAGAGACGCCAGATATTAAATCCACACTATTACTGTCAATTAATATTTGACAAAGGAGGTAAGAACATGCAATGGAGTAAAGACAGTCTCTTCAACAAATGGTGCTGGGAAAACTGGACAGACACATACAAAAAAATGAAACTAGACCACCAACTTACACCATACACAAGAATAAACTCAAGATGGATAAAAGACTTAAATGTAAGGCATGAAACCATAAAAATCTTAGAAAACATAGGCAATGGCATCTCAGACACTTCACGTAGCAGAATTTTTGCTATACATCTCCTCGGGCAAAGGAAATCAAGGAGAAAGTAAATAAATGGGATTCCATCAAAATAAAAAGTTTCTGCACAGCAAAAGAAATCACCATCAAAATGAAAAAGGAACCCACTGTAAGGAAAACACATTTGCCAATGATATATCTGATAAGGGGTTAATCTCCAAAATATATAAAGTACTCATACAACTAAACAAAAGGAAGACAAACAATCCAATTAAAAATTGGGCAGAAGACCTGAATAGACATTTCTCTGAAAAGGACATACAAATGGCCAAGAGACATATGAAAAAATACTAATTATCAGAGAAATGCAAATTAAAACCACAATAAGATATCACCTCACACCTGCCAGAATGGCTATCATCAAAAAATTAACACGTGCTGGCAAGGATGCAGAGAAAAAGGGAACACTAGCCCTAACCGGTTTGGCTCAGTGGATAGAGCATCAGCCTGCGGACTGAAGGGTCCCAGGTTCGATTCCGGTCAAGGGCATGTACCTTGGTTGCGGGCACATCCCCAGTGGGGAGTGTGCAGGAGGCAGCTGACCGATGTTTCTCACTCTCTATCCCTCTCCCTTCCTCTCTGTAAAAAATCAATAAAATATATTTTAAAAAAGAAAAGAAAAAGGGAACACTAGTTCACTGCTGATGGGAATGCAAACTGGTGCAGCCACTATAGAAAACAGTATGGAGTTTCCTCAAAAAATTAAAAATGGAACTTCCTTTGAACTAGTGATCCCACTTCTGGGAATATATCCTAACTCCCCCAAAACACCAAGCAGAAAGAATATATGCACCTCTATGTTCTTAGCAAAACAATTTACAATAGCTAAGATATGGAAACAGCCCAAGTGCCCATCAGTAGATGAATGGATAAAAAAAAGCTGTGGGACATTTATATAATGGAATACTATGCAGCTATAAAAAAGATGGATCTCTTACCTTTTGGGACAGCATTGATGGACTTGTAGACAATTTTGCTCAGTGAAATAAGCCAATCTGAGAAAGTCAAATATCACATGATCTCACTAATTTGTGAAATTAATGAGCAAAATGAATTGACCAACAAAATAAGACCCAAAGCATGGAGGCATGGAACAGATTGACATACTGTGACATACTTTGATGTGGGGTTGGAGAAGAGATAAACCAAAGAACTTATATACTTATATGCATAGCCCATAGACACAAGCAATAAGGTGGTGAAACCTGGTGGAGGTGGGGGGCTTAGGGCCTGGGAGGAGGGAGGTAAAGGGGGGGAAATGGGATATATCTATAATACTATCAACAGTAAAAAAATTATTTTTTAATAATGGAGTGCAATTTAAAACTTATGAATTATTTATTTCTGGAATTTTCCATTTAATACTTTTGACCAAAGGTAACTGAAACTTCGAAAGTGAAACCAGGTAAGAGGGGACCCCAGTATACAAAAATAAAAAATTAACTGTCCTCATAGAGCTTACTTTCTTGCTCCTCACTTCACCTCATACATAGTTTCCAATAGGAATCTCATGAGAACTAGTCCACAAATAGTTGATTTCCAGAGATGTGTTTTATTTTAAAGGGACTGAATGTTATACAGTGGCAACACAGCTCCTTTAGCTTTCTTCTTGCTATTCCCCAAGAAATAAAATCATTGCTGCTTTGTAAAAACACTTTCAGTGGCATATATAGTAATAGAAAGCCAGGTTTAAGATAATGTTCTATTTGTACTATCCTAAGACAAAGCAAAGCACTTAACACAAAAGGCACACTGTCATCTGAGCAAGTTTGCAAGTGACTGCTTTGAAAAGTAAAAGTTCTTAGGATCTTCTAACCCAGCACCCTGTTTTTATAGATTAAAAGACCAGAAGCAAGCAGCTATATAGAAATGAATTTGAGCCCTACCTCAGTCCTTGCACCAAAATTAATTCCTGAAGGGTCAAATATTGAATCAAGTAATTTTTTAAAAGAAAACAGTTTTTATAATATTTGAGTGGGGAAGACCTCCCAAGGCCACTAAATAAATTTGCCTACATAAAAATAAATCTTTGCATGATAAAAGCATCATAAACAACAAAGACAAAAATATTTACAATGCATGTCACAAAGGGTTATTTTCCTTAATTCCCACAAATTATCAATAAAAGACCAATGAGACAGAAAACCACAGGAAACACAAATGGCTCTTAAACAATTATAAGCTAAATTCCTAATAGGAACCATTTTTAATGTGTCAGAGTAGCAAAGATTAAGTTTGAGAACTATTACATTGCTGAGATGAGGAAATGGGTAAGCTAACATTCATTGCTGTGGAATATACACTGAGTGGCCAGATTATTATGACCACCTAACATCTGTAGGCAAATTAGCTATAATTTCGTGCTGAAGTTGCTAGAGGGCCAGACCATTATAAATAGGGAAGCAGGTTGTTCACCACGACAGTAGAAGTGATTTTTTTTTCTGAAGATATGGGTAAACAACGCTATTTAACAGCCTTTAAATGTGGGAGATTAGTATGACCACCTGACGTTTCTAGGCAAATTAGCTATACACTGCATCGTATGGGATATGGAAGCCGAAAGCCTGTTCAAACACCTTTGCTGTCTGCAGTTACCAAGATAAATGTCTCCAATTCGCACAGGAACACAAGGATTGGACAGTCGAGCATTGGAAAAAAGTCATGTGGTCCAATGAATCACATTTCCAGTTGCATCATGCAGATGGCAGAGTGAGAATTTGGCGGAAACAGCATGAAAGCATGCACCCCACATGCATGAGTACAACCCTTCAAGCTGGTGGGGCAGTGTTATGGTTTGAGGCATGTTTTCCTGGCATGATTTGGGCCCTTTAATTGATGTGGAACGTCTGAATAGCACTACATACCTAAGTATTGTTGCTGATCAGGTTCATCCTATCATGTTGATGGCGTATCTCAATGGAGATGGCTTCTTCCAACAAGGCAATGGCCATGCCATGGTGCTCGTATTGTGCAGGAGGGGTTTCAAGAACATGAGGGAGATTTTACCTTGCTTAGGTAAATCACCAGATCTCAATCCAATTGAGCATTTGTGGGACGAAGTTAAAAGAGCCATCAGGCCCTAACCAGTTTGGCTCAGTGGATAGAGCGTCGGCCTGCGGACTGAGGGGTCCCAGGTTCGATTCGGGTTGGAGGCATGTACCTTGGTTGCGGGCACATCCCTGGTGGGGGGTGTGCAGGAGGCGGCTGATTGATGTTTCTCTCTCATTGATGTTTCTAGCTCTCTGTCCCTCTCCCTCTCTGTAAAAAATCAATAAAATGTTTTTTTTAAAAAAGAGCCATGAGGCAGCTGGTTCCACAACCATCAAATCTCTCAGAACTGGACAGTGCTATTCATCAGGCATGGTGTCAGATTCCTTGCTCACCTTTCAATATCTCGTGGAGTCAATGCCAAGAAGAATCGCCGCAGTATTGAAGGCAAAATGTGGCCCAATGAAGTACTGATGGGGTGGTCATAATAATCTGGCCACTCACATTTAAATATATCCCACGTTCCAAGGCTGTTAAATCGCATTGTTTACCCATATCTTCAGAAAAAAAATCACTTCTGTCGTGGTAAAACAACCTGCTTCCCTATTTATAATGGTATGGCCGTGTAGCAACTTCAGCACGAAATTATAGCTAATTTGCCTACAAACATTAGGTGGTCATAATTATCTGGCCACTCAGTGTATATAGTAAGCTTCAATTTATGGAATATTAATATACAG